ACGACAGCTCGACAGGTCGAGTGATTAGCGATTTCAGGTTTACGATTTACCAAGACACGCGAGGTGAGTCTTCTCACTATACTTTACCTTGAGTAGGTAACCAGAGTTATGTGATAGAGTATTTGTATGCTATGTATGTTATGTGTTGTACTGCATTACTTCTATGTGTTTGATGCTGTGCATGTTTACAGAGTTAGAACCGGAAGGTTCACAGAGTTAGAACCTGAGGGTTCACAGAGTTTGGGTGCACGGACCCACAGAGTTATAGCCTCGAGTGGCTAATATGTGTTATATGTAGTATTTTGGGGAACTCACTAAGCCTTGTGCTTACAGTGTTGATGTTATTGTTTCAGGTACTAGTGACGACCGCGGGAAGACGCCGGCTTGATCCGTACACACACACATTCGGAGCTTGATATCATGATCTTGGGATTTTGTATTGTCTTGTTTGGATAATTAAAATGGTTGTTTAATGAATATCAATGGAATTACGTTTTATAAAAATTGAAAAATTTGTTTTGAAAATTTTCGGTGTTACAGATTGAGCTCCAGGAGCTTGGATCTACTGCCTTTATGGAGCCATAGTGCATGAAAGCCCTAGATCTACTCTTTTGGTGCATTTTGAGCCCTAAAACCCTCATGGGTGTTTATTTACACATAAAGTTGGAAACTTTACGTGTAAACCAGGCCCTAGAAACCCAAATCTATGAATGGCATGGGTTAGGTTCAAGCAGAATCGCGTGTATAGTATTTGCATGCGGCAGACTCGACGAGTCGTTCATCTGACTCGGCGAGTCGAGACGCGAGTCCCCGAGTTTTCCCCCTTTACGTGTTTGCGGGTTGGAGTAGTTAGTCATAAGGTGTGACTCAGTGGGTTGGAAGCCAGACTCACTCATGTAGTAACTCGGCGAGTCAATGCCATGACTCGGCGAGTTCAAGGCAATCTTCTTGACTCAAGAACGGACTCGACGAGTTGTTCATACAACTCGGCGAGTCTCAGCATAGAATGTTCTATAGATGAAGACGAACTCGACGAGTTGTTCATACAACATGGTGAGTAGAATGAAGGACGTTTGGCCATCATCTTAAAAGGAAAACTCGTCGAGTCAATGCCAAACTCGATGAGTAGAGACTGGATAGTGGTCAGACAAAGGGATAGGGACTCGGCGAGTTGACAAGCCAACTCGGCGAGTCGGGTCAACTGGAAGTTGAATTTCACTTTGACTCATGGTTTGGTTAAGGGTAAATGGTCAGTTTACCCTGAGGTCGGTTATCAGTATTTGACTAAGTGTTTGGTGGGAATTGAAGCCGGAGGATTTCTGGAGCAGCAGCAGTAACCAGACCGTTCCCACACAGATCAGCAGCTACGAGGTGAGTTACCTTCTAGTAGCGGTGGGTCTAAGGCCACAATGCATGCCCACAAGTAGGAGTCGCATGTTAGATGATTGTCTTTGTGATATCATCTAGGCTTGCTATTACCTGATATGTTATGTGCTAGTATGATATGTATGTGCTAGTGACAATAGGGGGAGATAGCCCCCCAGAATACTGGTCGATATGGCCAAAGGGGCGGTCATGCCCAGCCATGCTAGATAGATTATGTGATATATGTGTTATGTGGTAGTAGTAGGGGTGAAATAGTCCCCAGTATCCGGTCGAGAGGACCGAAGGAGATGCCAGCTCCCAGATATGCTAGTCAGTATCTGGTCAAGAGGACCGAAGGGGAGACCAGCACCCAGATATGCTAGTCAGTATCCGGTCGAAAGGACCGAAGGGGTATGTCGGGCACCCAGATAGACTAGTATGTATCCGGTCGAGAAGACCGAAGGGGTAGGTCGGGCACCCAGATATGCCTGACAATATATGTATGTTATGTGATTATATGGTATGTTGTATGTTGGGGGAACTCACTAAGCTTCGTGCTTACAGTTTTCAGTTTTGGTTTCAGGTACCTCTTCTTCGAAGGGGAAGGAGTTGGCGCGGTAGCAGCCCATCACACACACGCTTTGTATTCCGCACCATGAGATCTTCCTGGGGGTTGTACTCTGACGTTGTTACGTTTTTTTATAAACTGATTTCCAGACACGCACACTTTTATGAATGATATGATCAATGTATGTTTTATTACTAATATTTTGTTAATTATATGTTTTTAAAAATAAAATTTTTGGCTCGTATTTTTGGGATGTTACAGACTCATTGGCAAAAGCTTTTCCGACTTTTGCCTTGTAAATCTTTCGAACTTTAACCATGACATTCAACTCAGTTGCACCGCTTTGGGGGTTTTTCATGGCGTTCATATAGATATCGTTGAACTCCATTGTGGCTCAATAGGCGATCCTCCACTTAGAGTAAAGTGATTCAGGGTTGCGGATCTTCTTTTTAATGCATTGACAAAAGTTATGCCAAACTTTTTCGTTGAAAGTTTTTGAGTATTGGTCGTTGTCATAGATCGGGTCCTCCGACACATCTAGCCATGACTAAGCTAGTGTTCTCTCTTCATCATCCGTCAACCCTTGACATGGAGCCCTCCCTTTTCCCTTTTTTTTGCTTGTGGTTGGACTTTCGGCTCTTGAAATGACTCTTGAACGGGACCTTCAACGGGTCTTCATCGGAAGAATTGGTTGACTCATCGAGTAGGCGTCGTGGTTAGGATTGAAAGTTAGTTTGCCTTTAGGGTTGAGAAATGAATTGAGTTTCTTGAACCGTTTCAAACATATTAAGATCCACATTCGGACGAGGTGTTGATTGAGATTGGTTATGGTAAAATCCCATTGGTTGAGAAGAGTACATATTAAATGGAAACATTTGTGGACCCATTGTAGGATAGTAGAAGCTAGCGGGAGAGTGAATTGGTTGATCAAATGATGGTTGATAACATGGTGGTGATAGAAGGTTTGGTAATGGAAGATTTGGTGATTGAGTGTTTCGAGGTGGAAGATTTAGTGATTGAAGGTTTGAAGATTTCTTTTAGTTGGGTCCTTAGGGTTTTTTTTTAAATAAAGACATTTTTGTGCTGATGAATTGAGAGGGTATGTGAGGGAGATAATGATATTTTGTGTGTGTATGTGAAATGTTAAGAATATGGTTTGATTTATAGTAGTTGAATGGTAGTTGTAATTTTTAATTTTTATTTATTAAAAAACTTTTTTTTTGTGAAAATAGTGAAATGGTATTATAAATTTTGAATTTTATTATAAAAAAACTTTTTTACATTAACTTTATTTACTGTAAAAAGTAAATGTAGAATTGAATTAGGTATTTGGAAATTAAAGAAGTTGTTGGAAATTAAATGAGTGAAACTATTTGCAATCCGTTCCAATTCCTTTGCACCAATGAAATTCTACCATTGCTTTCTCTTTCTACTCGTCATGCAGTTGACAGTTAACCCTTAGCGAGCCCCCTAGCGAGAGCTAAGGGGTGGTGTTTTCTTCCTCGTTGCGAGCCTTGGCGACCCAGTGGCGAGCCTCACTCCGTTTAGCCTAATGGACCAATACCTTATTTTGGAAATCGGAGAGGCTCAATTGGTTAAACCAGGAACCAATCAACATACCCAATTTTTAATGGGTGAAAACCGCTTGTAAATTGTAACTGAACTGATTCAACAATAAATTCAATTATAAATTGGACCAGAACCAGTGTGGTCAAACCTAAAAAACCAGGTTTTTTTAGTAAAAAAAAAGTTATAACATACACCAAACTTGGAAAAACGGGTTTTTTTTTTGAAAAAAAAAAGTTATAACATACACCTTCAAGGCTTCCATTCTTCATATCTACCTCGATTTTTTTTTCAAGATATGTTTATCCTAAGTATTAAGGGGTGTTTGGCGTATCTATTTTAGAGACAAAAGAACTTTTTGAAAAAATTATAAAAAATCAGGTTTTCCTAACTTTTCTAAAAAATTAGTTTTCCTTCTATTTAAAATCCAAAAGTAGCTTTTAAAATGTTTCTACTATACATCTTTTACCTTTTATCTTTTCCAAAAAAGATTTTTACCTCTCAAAAAGACAAATCAAACACCCCCTAAGACTAGAGATGGTAAAAAGTCATGTACTTGACAGAGAACCGATACCCGAGTATCATTTGACCGGCCAACCCTTTTTAATGTCACAGGGATGAGGACGGGATGAAAATACCCCTAATCCCTGAAGGCAAACCTGAACTCGGTATATATAATACATAAAATATAGTGTTATATTTAATTGTAATCTTACGACTTAAGATAACATTAGGTCATATTACAAATAATTGTTAAAAACTTTACACGTTATTAGTTTAAATAGGGATGAAGTTGATGTGTTGTATTAAGTCCTTTAGGTGATTGTTAAAAACTTTACGTTATTAGTTTAAATAGGGATGAAGTTGATGTGTTGTATTAAGTCCTTTAGGTTATTAATTTAGTATTAGAATTTACTTATTAAGTTTAATAATATAGAATTTCAACAATTCATACTGCTTTTTATGTTAACTCGTAATTAAACACACATTACTGAAATTAGTTTAATAATCAGCTTATTGACAGTACAATTTCCAATAGCATTAAACATTGTCATTACATTAGTTTAGTATATTTATCTTCCTGTGAAATGATTACAATGATAATAATTTGATAAAATTAATAATTCATAAATAGATGAGCTTTTCCCGATTTGAAGATATTTCATTTTTCTTAGTTTAACAATCAGCTTTTTGACAGTTCAATTTCCAATATCACTCAACATTGTAAGGACATACAATTGTTACATGAATTTTTTTCCTCCAGAGCTTTTCCCGATTTGAACTCGAAAACAAATATATGCAACAGAATAACCATAAGATACAATAATTTTTTCCTATAGATTTATTCCCAATTTGAACTTGGAAACAAATATATGTCACAAAATAAATATAAGATTCAACGTAGTATGTACATAATTCAACATGGAAGGCGTTAAAGGTGCAATTCAAATGCGTTTTCATTTTAAATTGAATTACTTATTTGCATTTATTTTGTATCAACGAGTTTTTATAATCAACTATTCAAGTATATTTATAGTTGTTTGAGCAAAAGCTTGATTTGAAATTGTGAATTCAAAGTTCAAACATACAAATCTTGTACTCCAATGATCTTGCCTATACTAACAAACAAAATTATCTTATAAAATTAAAGATTTCCAAAATACTTGTGTCATGCAACAACATTGACAACATGCACCAGACCCAATGCTAGGCTAAAGAAAGCTAAATGAAGAAGCCATAACAAAAACATACCCAAAATTAACTTCAAGGCTAATAATCATTCATAGAGAATCATAAGCATCTTCATCTTCTTCATCTTCAAGTACGCACAGGAGCTGGGCCAGCAGCACCACCTGGGCGTGGTGCTTGACCAGGTTTGGGAAGATCATCCTGCAACACATTCATTCATCCCTTTATGAATATATTCATTTTGGAATTAATCCATACAGCACTTAATGAGAAAAGAAGAAAAGAAATAAGTGAAATGAATACTCTTGGACGAGAGAATCTCTTCGGAGGTTCACGGTTCCTCCTGTCAACCCTTGAGCGAACTCTAACAACCTTCGAGTGAATTGCACAAGAAACACAGTACTGCATCTTCACGTACAGTTTTGGAAGAGTGTATTCTAAAACAAAAGAGTAATTAACTTAGCATAATGATAAACATATAAAGCAATGATACTGAATGACTACAGCACTTACGTTCAAAAGCACATGCTTCTTGAACATCTCTAACCGCAGCTTGTTCAACTATGTTCCTCACAAGAAATCTCTTGATAGCCTTATCCTGATATCAACAGTTGGAAGGCGTAAAAGATTATTAATTGATTCATAATATAATACTCGTTATACATATTATGATACGATTGATAACTTAAAAAACTCGATTCCATACCTTCGGACAGCATTTACCGCAATTGGAGCAGCGAATAAACTTAACATGGCCACGACCATGCTTGTTACGTCCGCCGTTTCTTCTCTTAAAAGTCTGCAAATATTTTCAACGAAATCATCAATTGAGAGCTGTGTATCGACGAAGGTGATAGAATAAAACGATAAGCTCGAGAACAAACCATGGTGACAACAGCGTTCGGGTGTTGCAAGTCGAGAAGGGTTCCGCCGCCTGATCTCGATCTTCAGCAATTGAGGAGAAACCACGAAACAAGGTTTTTATATGGTGCCTTTTTTGAAAACCCTACTAAGCCCATTTGAGAAAAATAGTTGGCTCGTTATGCAACTTGGGCTGGCCATGTTTAATTAATTAAAATGGACTAAAATTTTAGAGGTCCACATAAAATCTTTTGTCAAAATTCAAATAGCCAAATAAACCGGTTTTTAACCGACAAAAAATAACCAAATGGGTTTGAGAAGGGTTTTATCTAATGTTTTGAAAAGCGGATCGGACATAGAACCGGTCGTCTTACCGTTTTGATGGTTTAACTGGTTCGACCAGTCGAACCAACCCTAAAATATAAATAAAGAACTATTAGTGTAAACAATTAATATACAGATTTGGATATATTGTTGATTCTTATATGAAGGTGTATAAATAAATTTATATGTGATGTATCTCAAGCAGCTTTATGGATCAATGGTTAAGTTGCTTAGAAATTATTTCGACAATTCAAAGTTTGAAGTGTAGTTATATTATTTTGCCGGAATCTCTTACTGTCACACATCGTTGATTTGATAAAACTCATATTAGTTTCATCCTTTACAGAAGAGTTGTGTTCTTATCCTTTCAACTCTAAGCTTAGACAAATCCTACATCAGCTGGCACAAGAAACTTTCGCAAGCTTAATGTTCTATATAATGATGTGGCAACCATGAAGTCATTATACAATTGATTGGGTTGCTATTAAATGCTTCGCCAACTTAATGCTCTATATAATGATGTGTCAACCATGAAGTCGTTATACAATCGGTTGGGTTGCTATTAAATGGATTGGCCTATAGTTAAAAGCTACAAAACCGGTTTTAAGGTTATTAGACCAAAACGGTTTAACTGTAGTTCACTGAAAACCATCAATTTTAAATTGTTTGGCCTGCTACCGGTTTTCGATGGCTAAAAAACTAGTAACTTGTTTTTTTTAATCGGATTTTTTACTGTAATCGAATCATACCGTTTCTTTCAACCAAAAAAACCAGTGTTTTTAGCTGAATTTTACTTCATAAAACCGAAAAATCAAAGATGTTATAACCGAAATCGATCTAGAAAAAACATGTTAAAAATCAGACCGATTTTAGAAAACAGAAACTAGTAAATATGCACCTCTAAATATCACTAAAACAGTATTATATTGAAATCAGCTCCTAACAAATTTATCTAGATCATATTTTAAATGATAAATTAGATTTAGACCGTACAATTGAAATTGGTTATGAACAAATATAAGGAAACGGATAAAAACAGCATTACAATTATTTATGTCGCTTCATACATTTTTTTGAGAAACCGATTAGGGGAAAATAAAATTTTGTTTATGCCCTAAAATATTAAACCAGAAAAAAATGGTTTTGAATAAATTAAAATAAAAAAGAGTTTACACTCGTCTAAGCAACATATTAGATTATGAGTATGTTAGCAACTACTTTAAAGTTCTTTCAAAAATATGTAAAAACCAAAAATTGTGTTCCGTCAAACAAAATTTTGTTTTCTTAAAATTTAAAAGTTAAATGCTCTTTAAATTGACTTTAAGAAAACAAATTTTGTGCGACGGTACGAGCTTTAAGCTTTTATTTAAACAATGACACAACTGTCATTGTTATCTGTTAAGCACAGCTGTCAATATTACTATTTAGACACAGCTACCAAAATTGTGATATTCTCTACGAGGCGCAACTGCCGATATTATCCTTTAAGCGCATCTGTTAGGGTTGTTATATTCTCTATTAGGCGCAACTTTCAATACAATCGTTAGAGCACAGCTACTAGGATGTTTAGAGTACATCGTAGATCAAAAACATCTACAGATTGTGGCGCAGCTGCCAATGCTCATCTATAGGGTTCTAAGTCTATTGGTGCCAATGATCACCTATAAGGCACTATATCCATACTGTCAATGTTCCTCTATATCAGCTTTCATCCCTCATCATTTATCTATACATATTTTACCCAACATATTTTGTAGATATAAAATACATATACAATTTAAATAATTTAAAACATGTATAAAATCGTTCATCCAACATAGATAACAAGTATACAGATAATACGCACACATAGCACGTAATTTATATAAAATACTTCATATTTATGTGTAATATGAAAGTAACTATGCACTCACTTGTGAAAGTGACGACTCGAAATTCAAGCAGCGTTTCCCTTCTTAACAATATGATATCCTTCGACGAAACTTAGTATTATTACCACTAGATTTTAGTTTAATATTTATTGCGACTAATTATTAGTCTAGATTACCATTAACTCGGTCTCCAATTCTTCTTCTCAGTATTTCCATTTCTTCAAAATTTGTTCTATTTCAACTTTTAATTATTTGGTTTGAAGATGCAGGCAACAACCGATCTGAAGTGTTCACTTGTTATCTCATACAGTTGATCAGAGGACTAATATTTGCTAGAATGAGGGTTTCGCCTACCGTAGATGGACTAGAAACCCTCATCGCTCCCATCGTCGTCATCCACCATCATTAACCTATCGCCATTCTCCCTCATTGTTATAGCCATTATCCTTCAACATGCTTCAACGCTGCCTCTCATTTCAGTTATTGGATGTGTTTGTCGATTTCTTTCTTCTTAATCTTTCAAGTTGTTCTTTTTTGGGATTTTAGTATGCCTTCCATGTGTTCGATCAAAGTTCTGTTTGAACTTTAACTCATACAACTTCTTATCTTGATTCATTGTAACAATTCCTTTTATTATTGCATTTGGTTGTTTTACTTGCCAAGGCTACCCTAGATACATCTCATCCTACATATTGCTTTATAAATGCCCTCAATTAGGGATGAGAAATTGGGCCGAAAACCCGAACCGAACCAAACCGAACCGAATAAGACCCGAATAAGCAATTCGATTCGGTTTTCGGGTATCTGTATATGGCTTATTCGGTTTTTGGGTTATTCGGTCCGGGTTACCCGAATAAGGACTTATTCGGTCCAAAAAACCGAACTGAATATGAAGTGTTTATTTCAATTGTGTGAGCCGTGAATCGAATAAGGACTCCCTCTCACAGTCGACGTCTCAACTCTCAAGTCTCAACAATTCTCCCATTCGATTCCCTAATCCTAATAGCGGGTAAACCAAACACAATTACACCAAATCGAACTGACGATCACAATTACACCGAATTGAAGAACACTGAAAATTTCTTGTTGCCGATTTCTTTGATCAACATTCGACGGATTATACTTCTTGCTGCCAAGTGCCGACTTCTACTTCTTGGCTTCTTGCTGTCGACGTTTAATTTGTTTGATCGCCAATTACACCAACATCGTAATATCGTATATCCTAATCCTTCCTTAATTTTTTTTTGATCGACAATTAACATTGGTTATACTTCTTGGCTTCTTGATGTCGACAATTAACTTGGTTATACTTCTTGCTGGCCGACTTTTTTTTTTGATCGTATATCCTAATCCCTCCTTTTGCCTTTGATCGACAATTGGTTTTGCCTTCTTGCTGGTTCTACAATATGCTTTGATCGACATTAGGTGTTGATCGACTTCCCTGCTTCAAACTTCTTGAATCGTCTTCTCATCTTGTTTTGTAGTTTATGCTGTGATAAAACTCCATTCAATTCATGGAAAATTGGGTTCCAAATCAAGAAACACAAGTAAGTATTGAATAAGAGAATTTAATGAAAAAAACCATATATGTTCTTTTACTTATGTCATTCCATATTGATGAATTTATTTAAATGCTATTATGCTTTAGATGTATGATGAATCTATTTTGTTATTATGCTTTAGATTGATGATGAAGATGTATTTGTTGATAACACACAAGTTGAACGAACAAGTCAAGCAACAAACTCGAAGAAAAGGAAATATGCCCAAAGGGCGGCTTGTTGGAGCGACTATGATGTACTTCATATTGACAAAGTTAGACATAGCAAATGCAAAAATGTGGAACTTTGCTCAAAACCGAATCCGGCGCAAACGGTACGTCTAGTATGATTAAACATACGGAAAGATGTAAAATGAACCCAAAAAATTTAGAAAAAAAACTAGAAAACCAAACCACTTTAAATTTCAAAAAAAATGAAAACGGAGAGAATAGTATTGGGACTTGGAAGCATGATGAGAAAACAATAAAAAAAGCTTTGTTAAACTTATTTGTAGTTGGAGAATTACCATTCAAGTTTGTAGAGAACGAATCATTTATTGAGTATACAAATGCATTGAACGGGAAAGTAATTTTGCCATGTAGAACCACAATTTCAAATAGAGTTACTGATTACTTTCTTGAAGAAAAGGCTAAGTTATTTAAGTTCTTCAATAATCCCCTAAGTAATGTGCATTTGACGACCGATTGTTGGACAAGCTCATGTCAAAGGTCGAGCTATATGGTGGTCACGGCCCACTTTATTGATGAAGATTGGGTCATGCATAAAAGAATTATCAACTTTAAATCTCTAGATAGTCATAAGGGAGAAGACATTGGGCGCACGTTGTTGACTTGTCTTCAAGAGTGGGTTATCAATAACGTAATGACCATAACCGTTGACAATGCTAGTGCAAATGACAAAGCAATCGAAATTCTAATGAAAAAGCTACCAAACTTGTACGATGGGTGGAAACAATTACACGTAAGGTGTATGGCCCACATCCTTAACCTTATTGTTAGGGATGGGTTTGATCAACATCAATCTAGTATCAAGTGCATGCAAAAGGCCATTAAATACATTAGGAATTCTACACAACGAATTCAAAGGTTCAAAGAATGCATGAAAGAGCTAAATGTGGAATCCAAAAAGTTTTTGTGCAATGATAGCCCAACTCGATGGAACTCCACATACGAGTTATTGAAGATTGCGGTGGAGTTGGAGAAGGTTTTTGGCATGTTTGAAGTCAAAGGTAATTTCATATTCCATTCCATTGTTTTTTTTTTTTTTTAATTTTATATTTCAGCATTTTTACAAATTTTTAGCCAACTTTGAAGAGTCATAACATGTTCGTTATTTGTCCGATTAGTCCGATTTTTTTTCCAGCTTGTAGTTTACAATTTGTACTACAGTTTACACTATTTATACACGTTATT